CGAGTAGCTACCGTCCGATATCTCTGCTATGCCATTTGTATAAATTGTATGAACGCCTCATTTTGAACCGCATCCAGGAAACATTAGATGCAAAACTAATCCCACAACAAGCAGGCTTTAGACCAGGTAAATCATGCACAGGCCAAGTGCTGAACCTAACAGAATACATAGAGGAGGGATTTGAGCAGAAAGAGATAGTAGGAGTAGCCTTGATAGACCTCACAGCGGCCTATGATACGATAAACCACAGAACCTTGCTAAGATCTATAACACTGTGCTTGACTATGACCTGGTAAATATCAGTAGATCACTGTTGTATAATAGACGCTTCTACGTTGTGCTAAATGGAAAGAAGAGTAGATGGAGAACCCAAAAAATGGCCTACCTCAAGAAAGCGTTCTGGCGCCGTCCTTATTTAACATCTACACCAACGACCAACCAATGCACCCTCAGAGTGAGAGTTTTGTTTACGCTGACGACCTTGGTATAGCCGTAAAGGGGAAAACACTCACACAAGTAGAGTCGACAATGGAAGATGCTTTAAACATGATGTCAACTTACTACAAACAAAACTCATTAAACCCAAACCCTACTAAAACCCAAGTATGTGCATTCCATCTCAACAACCAACTGGCGCATGTAAAACTGAATATTTCTTGGGAGGGATAACGCTTGAAACATACTGATAGGCCCAAATATCTTGGAGTGATACTAGACCGGTCACTAACGTATAAATTCCACTGTCAGAGCACAAAAGGTCTCTACGAGAAACCACCTTCTCCGGAAAACTTGTAGGGACCAAGTGGGGTGCAAACCCCCAGGTCGTGAAGTCAACAGCCTTATTTTTCTCAACAGGGGAATATGCTTGTCCCGTCTGGAGTAGATCTAGACACGCCCAACAAGTCACCACGGCGTTAAATGAAACATGTAGAATCATTACCGGTTGTATGAAGCCTACCCCTCTACACCTACTGTACCGGGTAGCTGGATTCGTATCACCAGACGACCGTAGATGTGCCTCACAATATGTGGAGAAGTTCAGGCAAACTTTCGATGAACGGCACCAATTATACGGGTTTGACGAACCGCCAGGAATCAGCCGACTTAAATCAAGGAAAATGTTTATGAGGAATGTCAGCGTCGAACCACCCGAAGTGTTCCCCCTACATCCAGAACGACCTAGTGGAATGAACCTGGACTGGAGAACCTGGCGGACACTCAACCGCATGCGCACAGGTGTTGCCCCTGTAAAACAGAACCTCATTAAATGGGGCATTAAGACAGATAGCGAGGCACTCTGTGAATGTGGGGAAATACAGAACGTGGAGCACCTGAGAGTATGCAGACTTTGCTTATCACAGTGCACCCTCGATGATTTATGGCTCGCAAATATAAAGGCTGTAGACGTAGCCCGATATTGGGCAGAAAAACTGTAGTCGGATCCAGACTCGAAAAAGTAAAGTAAGTACTTTGCATATAAGGATGCTCATATTACAAGCCAAAATAGATATATATATATATATATATATATATATATATATATATATATTATATATATATATATATATTATACATGTCTATATGACATTTGAACAATGTACATTAGGATCAAGTTTTAAAAAAGTTGCAAATTAACAAACAGATTTATTTTGTGAGTTTAACTTTGCGTGAAAGTTTTTGAAACAGTTTCTTCCTTTTACGAAACATAGATGAACATCACATTTTTATCGTCATACTCGGGGCAGTGGTCTACTAAATTTCTCTGAATCTCTTTTGCTGGTCGTATTTCAGATTTTTTTTTATGGCGTATCAAGAATTGTAGACTGTCGAGGAGAATTCTCTACACGTGGATGACCAGGACATCTTTTGTTTACAGCTTTACTCATAACAACTAAAGCTTCACCAATTTTCATCTTGAAATGCAGTAGGTCAAGGATATCTTTAGGGTTGGCCTTCTGTGTTTGCACAAAGGCCTTCTATTCTAGCCAACTATTCACACAAGCAAGGTCAAATGCATGAAAGATCATTCGTAAAGTCCATTTTTTTGATTTGATAAATACTCTGTAATTTGACAAAAGCTGATCCAACAAGTCTACACCACCCATATATTTATTGTACAATGCGATAGCCCCTAGTCTTTGAACATCTATGAATCTTTTGTTGCCCTTGTCCCATCTCTTTACTGTGTCCTCAGTTTTTTTTTCCCATATAATTAGATCCAACAACAACTGATTTATGGTCCTGCCATTTTACCAACACTACTGATCGTTCTGCATTAACCACTTCTTCATTATAACCTCTTTTTTGTTTACTGAAATCTTTATCTGGTGTAAACGGTGGTCTCTGAAATCTATCTAGTCGCACAGTACCTATTGAATATATGTGTCCCACTGTTAATTCTCCAAAAAGTAAATAACATGAAAAATAATTATCAAAATAGACAAAAACAGTTTCGGCTATATATCTTTAGTAAGGTACGGAAGTATCCAAACCAAATTTGTTTATCAAATCTGCTGGTATTTCAGTCGTCGAGCCTTGATAATTTTAATACCCATGGGCATGGCTTATTCTTCACGTATTGTTTGAAATTTAGTCTTCCATTAAATGGTACTACCTGTTCATCAACACTGAAATATTTATCTTTTTTAAGATCAAGGCATCTGTTGCGGAGTGCATCAAAAAACTAACTTTAAATAAGTTATCATTTGAATTGACTGGTTTTTCTAAATTGTTTACTATATGAATATTTTTTCGTAATAAGAAGAATCTATCTCTACTCATATTGTTTAAAAACAAACCAATATTATACATGTTATCCCCATACCTTCTAATTCAATAGGAGGAAAGCCCATACAACCGGTAATGATGTGGAGTCCAACAAAAGTGGTAATTTTATTTTTATCTGTTATTCTAAACGTTTCGCCACTTTGTAAAGCGTATATATTTGTCATTTTAGCAAAGTACTGTAAAAAGTAATCTACAGGAGACTTTTCTTTATTTGATGTATTGTATTGTATATTACAAGTCTTACTTGGTTTTATTTTTCTGGATACATACTTTCTTTTCAGCCACTTCATCTCAATATTTGGTGTTTTACACAATACACAAAAATACACAAAAATTATGTTTAATAAATGTTTAATACACAAAAAAATATTAGATTCAATATCTGAATGATTCTTCAAATACTGCAACATATTTTCACATTCAAGTTCTAATTGGTCAACATCTAATAGCGCCAATAACACCTCGCGATCCCGTAGATCTTTTGGATTAAAACCTGAAATAATATTAGAAATAAAGTCTGATGCACATTACAATGTAATAAAACTGAATGCGTATTTCTAACAAAATATAAAAGAAAATATATATTTTATATGCCAATACTTTGATTCTGACATTTTATAAAACGTTTGATATATATATTTTATTATATAAAACATGACTAATAATTATCAAAGTATTAACACAATCGGGTTAAACCGATAGCTAACGAGCAACTGATTATTTATGTTTATCAGAAATTGCCTAAATTAGCAAATATGCTGATTTATACAATTCTTAATATCTTAGTGAATAGGATTACCTAAACTCTATGTACATTGCAATGAAAGGGTTAAAGAGATAATTAGGTGTTTCCAGACTTTTGGTCCACTCTGTATATAAGATTTATATGATACGCTTAAGATTAATTCAAACGTAGAAGAAAAATGTACAAAGAAGTAAAATATTGAATTTTTTTTTTGCTAATAAAACTTTGTATGGAGAAGAATATGGATTATCAATAAACACCAAGAAAACCAAATTTATGAGGATATTAAAAACCCAAAATAATGGTGAAAGCCTTACAATTAACGGTAGTACTTTAGAACAAGTTGAAAACTACCACTATCTTAGCACAATAATTAATCACACAAATGATTACTCCAAAGTTCGAATAGATAAAGCACGTACAAACTTCAATAAAATGAGAAAGGTACTTTGTGCAAGAGAACTAAAATTGGACTTGAGAGTTAGGCTGACAAGGTGTTATATTTTCTCGACGCTGCTTTATGGAATGGAAGCATGGACACTTAACGCGTCGACTGCTAAAAAGTTGGAAGCATTTGAAATGTGGGTGTATAGAAGAATCCTGAAGATATGGACCGAGCATGTAACAAACAATGAAATCATGAGAAGAATCAACAAAAGAATGGAAGTATTGGAAACCATCAAGACATGAAAGCTGCAATACCTGGGGCATGTTATGCGTAATGAGAGATAGAACCTACTTCAATTGATTATACAAGGGAAAATCCAGGGCAAGAGAAGTGTAGGAAGAATAAGAATCTCATGGTTGCGTAAATTCAGGGAATGGTACGGATGCACATCAATTGAACTATTCAGAGCAGCAGCATCTAAGATCAGAATAGCCATAATGATTGCCAACCTACGTCGCGAAGATGGCACGTGAAGAAAAAGAACAAAACTTTGATATAATTAACAAAATTATCTTCAAAGATATTCCGTAAATTAAAAACAAAATAGTGTCGTGGAGAGAAAAAATATCTTTCAAATTATGTGCCACTCGATCACATTTGCTATTTAAAAATAACTGGGGGTTGTTGCGGGCCAATAGGAGGTTACATTTGGGGAGATGAATTTTGCATGAAAATTTGTCCCCCTCCCAATCCAAATTGACGTGTTTTTTTTTTTAATTTAGAAGAAACTCTTGCTTTCTGAGTTTCTGGGAAGGGGTCAAATGAACACACTGTATATATGTTCTTGAAAGTAAGTTAATAAGATATTATCGTGCTGCAAGCTTATAAACACTTTTTTAAATAAATTAGGACGCACACGTCTGACACCTAGTATTGGCTATATTTTTTCAGGTTGGCCAGAATCTTTTAAGTTTATATTAATTTTTAACTATTTTACCTAGGGTTTCTTGTCAAAATATAATTGCAATAATATTAAATTTAATTTGTAGTTAATAATAATACTTTTTCTCTTTTTTGCAGAATGAAATTGCGAAAGTATTCGAGATTCCATGTAAAAATGAGAATTGTGATAAATTCGAGAAAGAGAAAGAAGAAGAGGAAGAAACGGTTAGAGAAGACAACGAAATTAGGCTTTTAATAAAATTAAATGAAAAAATAGAATCGGATGTGACGGAATTGCTAGCGAGAAACGAATTCCGACAGAACGACAAATACAACGATAGCATTATTAACGAAAGTATAGTAGTACCCTGTAGTCTTCCGAATTCTTTTTATAAAGCGCGATGTGTTGTACCATTTGGAAGATCTCGTGGATCATCTAAAAATCATCTGGTAAGCGAAAAATACTTTTTTTATGACATATTATTCCTTCGTTTGTTAAATTTATAGGTAGTTTTTCAATGGCAAATAGTACAAATACTGGTGCGTCTTCATTAAAACCATGATACTGATAGAATCCACTTAAAAAGGATAACCAAAAAATTTCAAGTAAATTGCCTAAAGTAAAAGCCATATATGAAGACCCGTAGGCCATTTAATTCTCATCGTCATCATTCTGGCTACAACCCTGCGTGAATCCTAACCTCCTCAAGAATTTCTCTCCAGTCATTCCTATCCATCGCCTTCTTCGGCCAAGCACGTATTCACATATTTCTCATCTCTTCATCGATGTTATCAAGAAACCTTGTTCTGGGTCTTCCTCTTCTTCTCTGACCAATGAGTCTATTTATAGGAGCGTTTTTCTAGCTGGGTCATTTCATTCTATCCGCATTACATGCCCTATCCACCTCAGACGTCCTATCTTAATACGTTTCACGATATCTGATTCCTGGTACATTCTATAAAATTTGAAGTTATATCATCTTCTTCACACTCCAATGTCATTGACTGCTTAATCAATTCGTCTAAGTACTTTTCTTTTTGACCAAGATACGGAACTTTTAATAACGCACTCTGAGGTGCACGGTTAGCTCGCAGCGAATATCTGGCGAAAGATCATCAATGTGTGACAGAATCGATGGAAAATTACGTCCGTTCTCATCACCTTTGGTGATGTTTGCCACAGTTTTATAAGAAACTTAATGAAAAAACAATTCCAGATCATACCAAATACAATGTACGATTACTTATCATGTAACTTTTTCTCTAAATATTGTCTTTATTAAAAAGTTAAAACGAAATGTTGACAGAAAATCCCGTCTCTCCAATCCTTTTTCTTCTAATTCCTTTTTCTGTCTTTACATTCTGTCACATTTCGTCATGGTTTTGTACAGAAGTGAAGAAAAAATCTAAAGGAAAGAAAAAAGATTACCTGAGATACAAGTCAACCAAAAGACAAGACACATACTATAATTACAAGACAATTATAAACGAAACACATGCACTTACTTGTCAGGAAAATATAAAAATGATCAAAATTTTTGAAAGAAATGGAACATGATTTTGACGGTCTGCAAAAGTAAATATGGCGCTTCATAAGAGGGGAAAGAATGAAAGTAAAGGAACTAATAGAACCAAAACACATAGAATAGGATACGTGGATTGATTACCTAAAAAGCTATGCAGAGGAAAAACAAACGACGCTAGAACCAGAAACACCAGAAACTACCACAAATAAGGAACTTAACATAAATATACAGGAAGTTCGGACAATACTTGAAAATCTGAAGAACAGAAAAGCAGCAGGTAAAGACGGGATACCAAACGAGTTATTGAAATATTGTGGAGTAGCAATGACAGAACAATTAACAAAATTAATTAATAAAATTATAAAACACAATAAAATACCGTAAGAATAGGAAACAAGCGAACTAATTCTGCTATTCAAAGAGAAGATAAAAAACAGCCAGAAAACTTGTAGGCATAAACTTTTTAAATACTACGCTAAATCTTAGAACTAAAATTTACACTAAACAACATATTAAAAATTAAAGATCGGGCTCTCTTGGCCACAGATCTTGGGTCTCTCCCTTATACATATGTATAATTCACATCAAATACTTAAAATAGAAAACATGTCGTCGCTGTATGTCGTAGCCATGTTTTGGCCACAATTTGTTTGTCCACAATTTTCCTTCTATGAAGTATTTATTGCCTAATTGACGTACGTTTTTTCTGTCATTGTATTTTATAAAAAATTTACTTAACTTAACGTTATTTTAGGATAGCTCTGATGATGACATTTATTATGTCGAAAGTAAACTAAGCTTAATTAATAAATTATTTTACACACTATCAATTTTATTGAAGACATACAAAACCTGCTTACCAGTTTGACCTAAATAAAGCCTTTGACAGACTAAGACTCAAAGGTGTAATCCACCCTCTGTATAATAGAGAGGTTCCCCTAAATATTATAAAAACTATCAAAAATATCTACCAAAATAACAAAATGGAAGTCAGAATAGATGAACAACTTACCTATAGAAATAGGCAGCGGAATAAGACAAGGGGATTCATTGAGCCCCGTGCTTTTCAATTTGATCATAGATGAAATCATCAAAACCGCTAACAAAGGAAGAGGATACAGAATGAGAAACAAAGAAATCAAAATACTCTGTTACGCAGACGACGGAGTATTGATAGCCTAAGATGAAGATAGTCTGCAATACTGGTCCACAGATATAACATAAAAGCAAAAGAATTTAATATGACAATCTCGTCTCAGAAAACTAAAACAATAGTAGTCAGCAAAGAACCAACCAGATAGTCTTCTTCTGTAAAGTAGAAATTGATGGCATCAGTATTGAACAAGTAATGGAAATAAAATACCTGGGAATTACACTGTCTAGCTATGGAGGCGACATGGAGGAGAGATCAAGTACAGAACGCAAATAGACTGGCATGATGCCTTAATAACACTATATGGTGAAACAGAGACATTAACACTGAGATGAAATCAAGAATTTATAAAGCCAGTGTAAGACCAATGATGACATATGCCTCAGAAATAAGACCCGACACAGCTATAACGCAAAGGCTACTCTAAACGGCATAAATGAGAATACTGAGAAGAATTACAGAAAATACGCTGAGAGTTCGAAAGAAAAGTGAAGACATTATAAGAAAATGTAACGTACAGTATATAAATGAATTTACACAAAATAGAAAAGAAGAATGGAATAACCACATAAGCAGAATGGAGGAGACCCGTGTCGTCAAAATAGCAAGAGATAAGTCACAAATCGGCAGAAGAAGTATCGGACGACCGCGCAAAAGATGGACTGACAACCTTTCATAGAGGTATTAATCCACCAATAAACAAGCAGAATTGCTTATAAAGAGGAAGAAGAAGAAGACATTCTGTCACCGTTGCTGTTTTTAATTTTTTCGAATGTCATTTTTTTTTTATTTATTATACTAATTAACTAATTACCTGTAAGAGCCTTTTCTTATAACTAAAACCTACGCTTAGGCAATGAAGTGAATTCGACTTTTCTTTTTAGTAGAATTTCGTTAAATAAAAAAAAATCAAGACAGCTACGACGAGAATTTATAACTTCTATGTCGCGCATCTATTGAAAAAACATACAGCACCATGGCCTATTAAAATGTTATTAACTGACAGATTTATTATTAGAGATAAATTAACATTAGCAGAACAGCTTAAAAAATGTCGTCAAACATTACCAACATAAACGTTGTACACACTACGAATAAATTTGATATTAATTTAGACGAAACCATGAAAATTATATAACAGGTGATATGAAGTCGCGTTAAGATATAACAGCATCGTATGTGTCATAAATTTTCGTATACAGGATAAATTATCTTCGATAACAGTACACGGATCTCAGCTTAAAACTATGAACCAGACGAAACAACAAAATGTATGCAGTTTTATATTAATTTTTTTAATTAAACTTAATTTGGTAGTAAGGGAGAGTAATAAATAAATGTCAAGTGTCAGAACTAAATAATAAACCGACTGTTTCATGAATTAATGTGACAATAAATATTTTTTTAAAACAGTCAGAATTTTTACAAAATGAACTTAAATTGCAGTACAAGTATTAATTTGCAGAATAAGCTATAGCAATAAACTGGTTATTACTATCATTTGATATGCAAATAGCAGCAATAGCAGATTAAAATCATCAAAAGGGAAACTATTAGTCCTTATTTAAAATTATTCTTGAAAAACATGAAGTTTACAACAAGACTTCAAAGCAGTTTACGGTTCTTTTAATATAAGTTCGTGAAACTTGTTTAGCTTTTTAATCTTAAATAAAATTAATAATTATATAGCATAGCATATTTGACATAATAGCATATTTGACAAAATAGTACGACATTCACAAAATGTGAAAACATTAATTATCATCTGAAGACAACTCGTCAGATGATGAAGAACTAACGCAATCACTATTATTCACACTGATAAAATTACTAGTTCTACCGAAACATCCTAGCTTGTAGTGTCTAGATTTCACATTCTGCCTTCCTTTTTTTCTAGTATGTGTAATGCAATTTTTCCATGAGTCGGACGTGACGTTTAATATAGCAGTAGCTAGCAAAATTTTTCTTGACGAAAAAATGAAAACATATTATCTTACAGTGTAATTAAGAATTAGATCCATACTTATAATCGCTGTCGTTGGTATCTTCATTTGGATTGTAAATTATGACTGGGTTAAATTGTTTCGATGCGTTTTTCACGTATTTTGTATTCCCTAAATACGTTTAATGGAATTGAATTCACAATGGTAACAGAGCAGCCGTAGCAGATTATGTCCAAAACTATGTATAATCTTGTCTACTATAAATATTTTTAGTTTTTTATTCCTCTTGGCGAACTGTAGTAATCCCTACTTGAAACAATCCTGAGGAAATGAAATATTTTCATTTGTTGACTATTCTTTTATTTTATGTACTTTACAGGAATTTTTTGGATGCTTATTTAAAATTTCTGAATGTTATGGGGTATTGTCCAAAACTAAATCAGAAGATCCTTGTAAACTTGGAAGCAGTTTTTCTTTAAACCGGGGCACAAATATCTCCATATTCCTATTATCGTTATAATCAGTGGATTTTAAATTTGACGAAAATACAAGATCCATCAATAAAATCATGCTTCCCACTCGCATTCAATGTAATATGTCTCTTACCTTCAGTATCGGTGTGTGTTATGGATTTTATACTCTCGTCCTGCCAAATCATTTTGCTACTTCTTCGTCGCCACTCATTTCTGTCCATCGGTTCTTCTTCGCCTAAACCTTTCTTTCTCAAGTCCTCTTCTACATAGTCCTTCCATCTTCTCCTCGGTTTTCCTCTACCTCTCCTTCCGTCAACTTCTAACAGCTCTATCCTTCATACCACATAGTTTTCAT